AAGAAGAAGAAGAAGAAGAAGAAGAAGAAGAAGAAGAAGAAGAAGAAGAAGAAGAAGAAGAAGAAGAAGAAGAAGAAGAAGAAGAAGAATTGCTTACACTTATATTGCGCTTTTCTGGACACTCCACTCAAAGTGCTTTACAGGTAATGGGGACTCACCTCCACCACCATCAATATGCAGCATCCACCTGGATGATGCGACGACAGCCATAGTGCGCCAGAACGCTCACCACACGTAAGATATGTTATGCATATAATGATTAATTGCTGAAAATAATTCCTAAAAGTCTAAATCAGAATGTTGGAAACTGGCCTTTTTTAGCTTGTAATTATTTCCTTCCTTCCTTCCTTGAGTTGTGGGACACCAGATCTCTATCTTACCCCCTACCTGGGACATCACCCTTCACTGGTTACATTTACTGATACCTACAAAAGGCCCACAACACTAAACCCATGAACAACAGGAAACTTTTGGAACCATTTTTAAAGGGTTTATTTAAGTAACTGGAACAAAAGTCAGAAGACACTGGGCTCTTGACCTGAGGGCCATTTAGGTGTGAGGAACCTTGATGCTAAAAATGAGAAAACCCAACAACAATAATATAATAGTGATAAATTATGTTATGTGAACCTTGTCTAAAATGCGGCTTTATTTTAACATATAATTTAACTATGACATAGTTATTGTGGTTGTGACAGTGGCAATGACAGAACGGAAATCCCCATACATCAGGTCAGTGAATTATAATGCAGCAACAGCATGTTTTCTTGAAAAAAGAAGCCACCACAAAATGCTCTACTATATTTTAACTGTTAAGCATACTTTGTAGTAGCATGTAATTGAACACATGGTTTAGCTTTATCTTATCAGTTGACAAGATCATACAGTAATATTGGGGAGTACCTCCATACTTCACTGTGGAACTGAACCACTGGTCTGCTGGTTACACATGTCTGTTTACATTTGAATGCAGGCTTTTGAGCTATTCTGCCTTCAAGCTAGCTCACTTAGTGCATTGGGCATTGACAAGGCACTCTAAACACTCAAGAGCATTTAATTCCATCTGTCAGAGATTTTTATGGCAAATGGGTAAAGGGCATTTGCTGAATTCAAACCAGTGTTTAATCACTGTGCCCAGAAGCAATGCACTCCCGGACCTAGTTTAAATCTACATAATTTGAGAAATAAGCACATTCCTTTTTCACTTAAGGGAACTGCTCCCAGTGTTTAACTTTGAAGTATATTTGGTAACGGCTGCAGTCATTGGCTCCAGTCACTTGGGCACACTGCTTTAAAGGAGTAGTTCATGCCATCTGTATTTTACTCTCATTTCATTTTATCACATGAGGCACATGCTAGACGATGTGCTGCAAGTGATTCACGGTTGTTGTTCCTGCTCAAATCTGTGCTTGACATGATAAGTGGCTACTGTCTGAAAAACAGCTGTGTGGGGAAGTGCATGCAGGAAAAAAAGTAGTTTAGCACTGTACTAAGCTGCAGAGCCTTGTCTAGTAGAAGCATTGTAAAGAAATGTTTAAACTTCCCATCGGAAAACACTTAATGAAAAAGCTGAAATCTGTCTTTTTAGCAAGGTAGGTAAATGCATAACCTCTAACACTAGAATAGATACAGATAAGCTAATTTCCTTGGTTATTAGCAGGAAGACAGCAGTCAGAGAGGGAACTATGTCAGGGTCAAGATCCGCAGGAATTCACTGGCTGAATTTCAGGTCTCAGATGGTGGGAACATCCTGTGTATTCTTTTTTCACTGCTGTCTGGTTACATCTCATGAGTAAGATCTTTCTCTTGGGTTTCACTTCTATATTTATTTTACATTGATAGCAAAATTACACTTGTAAGGTTAAGAAAGTTCTGCTTTGTGTTTAATAGAATACAAAAAATATCTTAAAATACTAAGTAATAAAATGAACAGTGTGAAAATAGGGAATAGTTTAGTAAAAAAACACAAATAAAGAATAAATATACATATATACTCAAACACCGATAGCATCATCATAATTCTGAAATTAAAAGTCAAAGGAACAGTACTTTTTGAAGTGGTCTGATAAATTACCAACAGGAGTTATATATTCACTATTCTGAATACATAACTGACCATATTACTTGTAAATGAAAAAATGTAGCATACATTCTATAAACCCATCATCTTATCTGCTCATAAATATATCTCCGGAGGCTGGAACAAAGATTGTATAAAGTATAAAAAATGACAATTAGGATAATAAAGGCCTGTAGACTGTGGTGACCCCTTGTGGACAGTAGTGATAGCAGGTTTATTAACTAACTCAAATCATGACTTTTTGACACCAGCCACAATGGAAGATCAGATCAAAGCACCATGTGATGAATTCTTCAATCTGGTGGATACTTGCTAATCCATAGTACTACATAGTACTACAATCCTTCATTTTAGCAGCCACATCACTCTACAACTCACAACTGGAAACCCACTGAAGCTAAGCAGGTGTGAGCCTGGTCAGTACCTGGATGAGAGACCTCCTGGGGAAAACTAAGGTTGCTGCTGGAAAAGGTATTAGTGGGGCCTGCAGGATGCGCTCACTCTGTGATCCATGTGGGTCCTAATGCCCCTGTATAGTGACGGGGACACTATACTGTAAACAGGCGCCGTCCTTCAGATGAGATGTAAAACTGAGGTCTTGACTCTCTGTGATCATTAAAAATCCCAGGGAGTTTCTCAAAAAGAGTAGGGGTGTAACCCCGGCGTCCTGGCCAAATTTCCCATTGGCCTTTACCAATCATGGTAATAATAATAATAATAATTGCTTACACTTATATAGCGCTTTTCTGGACACTCCACTCAAAGGGCTTTACAGGTAATGGGGACTCCCTCCACCACCACCGATGTGCAGCATCCACCTGGATGATGCGACGGCAGCCATAGTGCGCCAGAACGCTCACCACACATCACCTATCAATGGGGGAGGAGGGCAGAGTAATGTAGCCAAGTCATAGAGGCTACATTACTCTGGTCTCCTAATAATCCCCATCTATGAATTGGCTTCATTACTCTGATTGGTAAAGGCCAATGGGAAATTTGGCCAGGACGCCGGGGTTACACCCCTACTCTTTTTGAGAAACTCCCTGGGATTTTTAATGATCACAGAGAGTCAAGACCTCAGTTTTACATCTCATCTGAAGGATGGTGCCTTTTTACAGTATAGTGTGCCCGTCAGTATACCGGGGCATCAGGACCCCCACAGATCACAGAATGAGCGCCCCCTGCTGGCCCCACTAATAACCCTTTCAGCAGAAACCTTATTTTTTAACAGGAAGTATCCCATCCAGGTACTGACCAGGCTCACACCTGCTGAGCTCCAGTGGGTTGCTAGTTGTGAGTTGCAGGGTAATTAAAGCTGCTTGCTAATGCTTTATGTTATTGGGTGAATCACTTGGAATTTAAACACTGGTAAAAATGATCACATTGAAACAATACAGTGTGAGTTTTAAGTGAAGTAACTAAAGCACAATAAAGTGAGGGAGGACAATACAGTCACTGATAAAAAGCCTTTTGAGTGTGACAATCAATTTTGTTTCCAGAGCACATCACTGTCAGGTTTTATTCACTTACACAAAAAAAGGAAGATTGTCCAGTATGTTACTAAACAGACGCATAAAATCCACCATCTTGGGCTAGAGCAGAATAGCTTATTATACAAATAGATTTGTGATAAGAGAACTGCACCCCCAATAACTTTATTAAAATGATAAGACAGGGAATACATTTATGGGTTTTATTTTCAATGTATCACTGTTTGATGCTATTATTAAACAATTTCATTTAAAACAACAACAACCCTATTTTAGATTCTCTCGGTCCATGTAGAAAACCTGAACTAGAGGACTATAAGACAATAGGGAATAGTCAAACATATGTAGATAATTGCATCAGCATGTGTAGACTGCAAAGGAACAAGTAAAGGTTTAATCCATGCTGAAAAGAAAAGAAAAGAAGCACAATGTTTAGTCTATGTTGCGGCACAACCAAAAATGTATGTTTCTTTTCTTCTCTTTTCAGCGTGGAATGAAACTTTACTTGTTCTTTTGCAACCTTTATTTATAAATTATATTTAGAAATATTGTGTTTAGAAAAGGTAGGTCTTCCTTTACCGACTTGTTTTAGGTTTTTTTTTAACAAGCTCATTAACAGAGACTCATTAAGTGAATTCAGCAGGCCTGCTTCTGAAATGTCTGTAGTTCTAGCTGATCTGCCACTAGAGGCCACTACATTGCTTCTAAAAATGCTTGCAGATAGTCACAGTGGGGATTATTTTTTAAATTATGAGTTAATTGGTAAAGGGTGTCGGAATTCACATTATTCACATAATTCACACATATCTGGGTGTAATTAGGTCATAGTTTGGTATAAAAACAGTTTGCATGTACATTGCTTGTTTGCATGGCGTTTGGTATCATTAAAATATTGTCTGTGTGATTTGTGTTAGGACTGAACAGAAAAAAATAATGTATCCTTTTAAAAAAATAAAAATAATTAAAAAAACTGTTTTATTGTGAGTTTTGTGTGACAATCCTAGGGATTGAGCCGCTTGGGTAAGGGTCCAATTTATTAGATTTTCAGAAGACTTTGAAGAGTTTTATAGTTCCTAATAAGATTGTCTGAAATTGCATGCAGCAGACAACATTTTGATTGAGAAAGAAAGGAGGATTAGCAAATTCTATAGAAGCAGCACATGAAATTCAATAAGATTTGGATACAATTCAAGACTGGGCATACTTACCATTTAATGTAGACAAGTACTCCAAATGTTTGTAGCAAAACCATCAACTATAAATACAAAATGGAAAAACAAAATTTCCTTTAAGAAATTATTTATGAAAAAGCTTCTGCACTGTGGGTGAGCAATAAAAAGCAAATAGTGTTTGAATATATAGGTAAAAGAATTCAAGAGATTTTATGTTAAAATAGTACAGTGCACTAGTAAGACCTCATTTAGAATTTTATGCAAAATGGTGGTCAACACATCATAAAAAAGATATTGCTGACCTGGAATTAATTTAGAGAGGAGTAACTAGATACACAGGGAATGTCCTGCACCGACAGGTTGAAGGAACTGAACCTTTATAGTTTGAGTTAATAAGACCATGAAGGGACCTGTTTCAACTAATCCTCAAAACATTGAAAAGTGGACCAGTAGAATGCAAGAGGCAACTACATGGAAGTGAATTTAAAACTGAGAAAGGAGGCACTTCTTCATGCGGAGAGTAGTGACAGCACTGAAAAAAGCTACCGAGCCACGTGGTTGAATTCTAGTTTGTTTAAAGAAACAGTCAGATAAGAGCCTTCAACCAATTAACTTGTAAATGGGCTGGATAGGCAAAATGGTCTCCCTTAGTTTGTTAAGGTCATATGTTTTTATTTGTCTATATATCTATACATACTACACAGACAATTTATTAAATGCTAGAAGCAAACAGATAAGTCCTTTTAGAGCAAATCACATTACGAATCTCATATGACATCTTTCTTTGCATATGATGAAAAATACAGGCACACACATGAAGTATTTAGTCATTTTAGCAGTTTTTTCATTCTATATACCAATATTCACTCCTGCTCTTAGACAGCTGCCTGGTTACTTAGTTTTCATTGCACTCTGGATTAATAATGACTTAATTTAAATCAATCATTAATTTAATTAGTTCATATTACCGCTGCTTCCAGGTCTTTACTTATATGGTAGACTGTGGTAGATACAGTATACAGTCCATTAGTTGGTACAGTATGTGGGGTTTTGAGTAAACCTTTGTGGTAAACACCAGAAACCATTAAAATTAGAAGGTTTCACAGTTAGCATTCAGCAGGTGATGGATTTAAATTGAACAAAGCGCCCAATACAGCCAGCTGTTCAGACACATTGTCTCCCTCCAATGATTTTTCGCTTAGTTGCTGCTCATGTAAAAATAAAATTTGAGAATTCCACCCCAGGCATACATTTGGTAACAACTGCTGATGCATGTTTGACACAAGCCTACTCTAGGAAAAGGATTTTATTTTAACTGTGCATTCTTTGCTCTACTTAGACATATGAATTATGTTGACACATAACAGAATTATACATTGTTGGCATGAAATAATCATTATTCTAATATAAGTGTATGGCATCACAAAGGCAGTGACTTCAGTTAACCCATTTAGCTGAACCCGCCAGTTCGATCATTTAAAAAAAAGGTTTGTAATGTCTTGGGAGACCACAAAGGAAAACCAGGTTTCTTTTTCAAATCATATGGATGGACCAGGAAGTTGTATCATTTCTCCTAGACCATAATTTCCTAACCAAATTTCCAAAAGTGACTGTCGACACTGTGCAGGGAGAGGAGCTGTCCTGCAGATGAAGTATTACTCCAATGTTCTGACTACTTGGGTTTTTAAAGATCTGTGGCACTCTTCTTAAAAGCAAGAGCATAAGCCAGGAGTGTATTATGTGGGTGGAAAGCCCTGAAAATAATTAATCATTACTGATAGTGTTGTTCTCCTCAGCAGACAGACCTGGGCAAATTCAGTTAGATATCAAGATATTATTAACAAATTTCCTAATTTGTCTGATAAAGTCTTCAGTTAAATCCTTGTCCTTGATTTGAAATAAAGTTTCCTTTGAAACCTGTACATAATTTTGTATAATGGTCAGTAGTTTTCAGAAAATGCCTCTTAGAGATATAAAGTGGACAGCTAATATAGTATGGAAGTCATAGACTTATATTTTTTCAAAGAGACATTAGAACTGTCATCCACATTTGACATTTATTTAGAAGAAAACCATGTCATTTTGCTGTTTTAACTAATGAAAAAAACAGATCTAATTCCATTGTCTTTGTATAATTCTTATTAAATTAGAATGCATTTTTGTTAAACAGCACGTTTTACTTCTGGGAACTTGAACCAGCTGGTAAACTACTGTTCTTTCAAGTTCGACTGCATAAATCCACCTCTTGAAAGGGAAATCTTTTGTCTTTTCTGATTGACATTTTTAGTGCTGAAGTGATCAAGAGTGATAAGAAGAAAGAATTATATTTCCATCTTTCTACTTCAAGACTCTAGGCCTCTCAGCCCCTTTTTCAAATTGTTTTCCTCTTCGTATGAAAGCTTAACGGGATTGGTTCCAGATGCCTGCATGGGGACATTAACAAGCTTTTTATGTTAGGGCTGCAGGCTGCAAAGCTGTGTCAGTTCCCATTCCACTTTGTCTGATTGTAACCTGCCTTTCCTTAGCACACAAAATGTTTCAGAGCTGTAAGACAAACACAAGAAGATAAAATCACTTTTTATCTTCCTCTGCAAGGGGCAGAAGCCAGCACTTTCTAAGTAAAGTGACCAACCTTTCTGCTCTGTTGTGAAGGAGCTTTTCCAGAAGAAGGGCTTCATGACAACACCCTCGAACAGAACAGGACCTGGCAGATGACAAGCGTGAAACAAGGCAGCCTCCTTGAGCCCTGAAGACAACAAAATGAAACTAGCTTATCCGTGAGGCTCAGAGAGAGGGAAGCTCTGAATGTAGATTAGAAAAAGTGCAGGCAGCAGTGAGGGTGTGTGACTCTCACGAGGCAAGACCTGAAGGTTCATTCAAATCTGACATGATGGTATTTTGAATTGATTATAAAAACCAGTTTCTTGTGAGACTGTGTTTTTTTTTACAGTTGTATTCCATCTAGTGCAGTACAAAATGTTTATGGTATATAAAACCTTGTATAGATGCACTGATGATAGCAGTACCTTATACTGAAAATGTTCTTGAATTTTTTAACACTATTGATACATTTTAAACAAAAATGTAGAAACTGATGAATCGATATGTTGAGAAAGGGGTACAATCATGTATCACATAAGGGATTAAAAGGATATTGTATTTGTAGTAACAGTTTAGATAAGAAAACTAAACACTGATCCACAAAAAACCCCCAAAATCAATACATTCAATGTGCACTAAAAATTGACCTGGAAGTTAATGAGACCTGATGCCTCATTAACTTAATCACAGTTAGAATCTGACCTTGGGGAAGGTATTCTCCACTGTCTCCGCTGAGCTATCTCTTGAGCAATGCTAGGGTATGAGGTGGACTTTGAAGAGCACAAACCTTGGGTTCAATGATGTCACACAGATACTTGATGGATCTTAATTTTGATTTATTAGAAATTAAGCACATTAGCCCAATAGATCTGATTCAAGCAGGTGTGTTGGTAGTATGTTAAGGCGGGGTTTTATTATGCCTGAAAGAAGGATATCTCTGCTGAACAGGCTGACTATCAGATTGTGTATGCCACACGGAGAGTAACAGCCCTAGTCCTGTGATCTTCTGTGGTTTTCTGAGAATTTTGGAAACCATTGATGAATTTTGGAAGCTGTTACAAATAGTAGCCATCCCAAAATGAGGAGAAAGGTGGTGGTTGCCTCTCCTAAATTATGACTTCTTCTGTACTCCTCAAGGGAAGGAAAATATACTGTACCACCAGAACTCCCACCATCCTCCAAGAAAAAGTGCATGATTTTTGCCCACATTCCCCATTTTTTTGTCAAGGATAAAATAGTCTCTGTTGGCACTTTGAAAAGTCCTGCAGCATGCAAAATGCAGGTGTACTGTATATAGGTGTCAATATGTGTCCTAGTTTTGGGTTTTTCTCATATTTTGAAATTTTGGCAGGTGGATAAAACTCAGTTAGATTGGGTTTTGTTTGTAGCTTACAGTATATGTCTATAATCGGAGAGCAAAAAGCCCACTGCATGTAAGCAACTTCAGCTGAAAACTGCATAATTGCACATGCGGTATGCTTAGCTCAGCCAAGTGATTTATTATCTCTGAAAAGACTCTAATGCAGCTAGTTCCAAGCTCTCTTACCCCATTTATCAACATAGAAAGTGTATGTGTATATGTAAATTTAAACATTGCAGTCAGTGTAGCAGTACAGTACAACAGTACAATTCCGGTTTTGAACTGGAATTAAGGGTCTGTTTTCTGACAGCAGACTTTAAGTATGGAAAAGGCCTTGGGAGTGGACAAGCTACATTGCTGAAGTACATATTTATAGAAAAATATGTTCAAGTGATATAAACAAGAATTAGAGTGTATTGTTTATGATGATTGTCTTCCATGAACTTCAAGTTTACTGATAAAATCAATACAGGATTTTCATACTTTCTGGTACTGTAGGTTGAGCAGCTGCTGTCTCTAGGAATACCTGGTCTTGGTAATGTCAATGATACTGTTGTTTTGAACGTGAAAACTAAATTGTGAGAAAGTCACTAGAACTTAATAGGACTGATTTCAAATGATAAAATTACAACAAGGGCATACAACAGATTTGTCTCAAACCCTCAGGATTCTTCATGATTGTGATTGATTTCACAATTTGAATTTTGTAAATAAAATGTAAATTTCTGTTGACTTTAGCCTGTTTAGTGAAGGAGTGGGTACCTGGCAGTACTACAAGGCATCTTTGACCTCCCCCACACAGCTGAGGGCCTTCTGTCAAGATCCGGGCACTAAGAGTGGTGAACTGATGCAAACCTGAAATGCAAACAAGTGGACGGCAATTGTTCTTTAGTTATGATGTATGGTGTATACAGTAGATAATTTTTGTCTTCTCCAGAATATTTGAGACCACAAGCAGAAGGTAATTAATTACAGTACAATTTACAGTGAAAAGATTTACATGTAAAATAAAACTGTTTTCAAGAAAATGTCAAACATATCCACTTTAACAGTTTTGCATGCATTCATAATATAGTGGTATTACTTGGGTTCTTTTAATTAATACATTGTTCTGCTTCATAAGTCCTTCACCAATGAGACAGACACTATTCATAATTAAGCTGTACTGTATGCCTTGTCTCCCTGAGACAGTGGTCACACAGTGTGCTTTTATTATTTGCTCTTGGCAAAATGCAAACAATAAAAAGGAAGGCTGGCAACAGAAATGAACTTTTTTTTTCATAAATGTTGATAGAAAGTACTTTGTTTGTTGTTCAGCTGAAAGCTTGAAAGCCTGGTACGTGGCACATGGTATAGGAGTATGATGAGAGTCTTAGCTGAAAACAGATATTTTTTTTACAAAAAAGCCTAGATACTGTGAAGTGAAAGTGGTATGAAGGTGGTTGCTAGGGGCTTTTTACAATAAACAATGTATTCAGAATGAATCTTTCAGGCAATATAAACTGCTCTAGTATAAGACTGGAAACTATGTACCCAGCTTTGACAGCCGACACTGTACATTGTATGCACCCCAGTCTTTTCTTACTCTTTTTTATGAGTCCTCAGTGGGCACGATGACACAACACGTGCCTTTGATGGGTGCCTTGCATTTTACTTCTTGAGTTTTTTTTCCCTGCTGTCAATGTTTTGAAATGCTCAATTTTAGGAAAAGCACAAAGCACGAAGCCCTGGGTGCTAAAGCATGTTTTCTAAACAAACTCTCACTGCCCCCCCCCACCACCACCATTACCACATCAGATGTATTTCTCAATATGGGATTTACACATTTGCACTTCACATAGTAAACCACACATGTCACAGGTGCATAGCACATGCCAGGAATTATATCACAGAAAGAATGCAAGTAATGAAGTAATGATAATATATTTGCTGTATTTTGCACTTTACATATTTTAATTAATTTGCATGAATTAGGACTTCTTAAACAAACCAGTTCATGGCATGTTTTAACAGAGACATTTCATGGATTTCTTTATACATCAATATGCATTCAGGAGAAAACCTGTGGGATATGCAGTCATTTGCTTAATTGTGGTAGAAAGCAAATTTCTTTATTGAAAAAATAAATAAATCAGCGGTCACAAACATTTGGAAGATATGGTAACCTCAAAACTCCCTTTAGAACCATATAAAGTCCTGTCTCTAGATAATTTCCTTAGTTCATTCAGTCTCACTGGGAGCAAAGGGTAAGTAAAATGTGAAACACAGGAGGCTAATTCTCAAAGCTCTGAAAAGGGGTTAATGCAGTGGTGCTTACAAACAATACTTACCGTACACTTGCTGCAGAACAGCCATCCTTTTATGTTCTAGAGATGAAGGTCATTTCAAAATAGTAATTCCTCCTAAATCAATTTTTAATTTACTTTGCACAATCCTGCAGAAATCTGACACCCATAATAAAACTGAAAGCTCCCATGAAGTAATCACAAACAATATTGAGGAAGTATGCATGACATTTGACTTGCATAGATACTGTATGGCCTGTCCCAGCCTTTATTCATGGTTCACATTAACAATATGAGCATCACCCTCAAAGAAACCCAGATTGTTCAGTTTTCAGTCTGGAACATTCTAGGAGACCTTCTGCTTGGCACACCACCAAAATAACCCACAGTATGTCAATACATTTGTACAGTAAGAGGATGTCAGAATAAACACTAAATTCTGATGCTGTGGTTTATACTTCTGATAATGCCTTTGAACTAGTTGTAATCCTACGGCTTTTATTGCCTGTTTTCTTTAACACTGAAAAACTGAAAAGTGTAGGCAGTCGCCAAATGCTTCACAGGGAAACTTCACAGTAGAAAGATTTCATTTTCATGAGCATGTAAACCCAGTGAGGAGACAAATGAAAAGACACCCAAAAGAAAAACTGTGAAATGGTACACAGGACTGAAGAAGGTCATTGAATCTTTCAGAACACATTTTTCCTTTCTTGAAGAAGACTCAGGATTGGTAGACTTGGAGCGAACACTTTCCACTGCTCAATATCTCAGAATGAGTTTGGTGCATTGCTGTTGCAATACCATTCAGTTGCCATGGCAGATAATTTGATGAGGGTGGTTAAATGCTGATTTAATTAACTGCAAGGGCAGCACAGCTATAAATTAACACCACAATTAAAACTCAGTTCTTTTTTCCATTGAATCCCTAAGCAGTAGACCAACAAAGTGTCATACCAAGGAAAGGCAGTTAATTGGTAATTTTACAGACTTTATTGCAGCCAAAGGGTCCCTAAGTGGAAGTTAATACAGTTACAGTTTCTCCTGGAACAATATCAGTTTTATTTTCTTGACCGTAAGATGATAATGCAAAAGATGAATTACCATTCAAACACTCAAAATGTAGGGATAACAGCATGTTGTTTTGAAGAAGGTTACCTGAAGCATAAATGTACTGCAAATTGCACATTGCAATAAAAGGTGTCTACAGTATCAATAGAATTATTTAAATAATGCTATTAACGATGTGATAGAATAGAAAAAAAACTTTTTTATCAATAAGAGGGTAAACAATGAAAAAGAAACATGGAATCTTTGTTACCTGGATTTCAATCATGTACCCTTCAGATTCAATGCATATGCTACTAACTATTATTAATCTGGTCAAATCCTCCAAGCAAAGAAATAATATGATTGCATTATGAAATTTAAATATATATAGGAAATAACAGAAGCATAATGCAATAAGTTACACAGTAATGCACAAATACAGGGAAAGTTAAAAGGGTTCCTATGGTAAAAACGTGAAATTTGTTTAATGATCAAGTATGCCGAGTAACTATTTGTTCAATAAAAGATGCTTATGATTTGATATTTGATAAAGTAATTTATCCCAATAATGCAATGTTGGTAACAACTGTACTACATGTAAGACACAGAAATAAATCCCCTGTCTTGATGACATATAAGCCCATCTATTATTGGGCAGTCTGTAGATAAAAAATAGTGATTGAACTAAATTACTGACTTTACCTATCAAACACATGTCCTATTTAGAAATTGCTGGATTGATTCATGGTAGGAAAACCGTACCCAGTGACTACCACAGTACTGTACTTTTAAGGAACCAGTACAAAAACTGAGGAAAGTAACTATAATGAAATGAATAATTTACCTGATTTGTTACTAAGGAACAATAAATACAGAATAAATCAAATGGACATAAGGGAATGACTAAAACAAATGGCATTACACAGTCTAGCATTTGTTATAGTAATTCAGGATAAAAGAAATGGATATTTTTTGTAAAATTAATCTGTGTAACATATCAGAAGTAATTCTGCATTCATTATTACTATGGAAACATTGTGAAAACATAAATTCCTTGTGGCAGCTTCATCGTTCCTTTACCAAGCTAACCCATGTGAAACATGACTGCTGCTTTCTGCTTAGAAACTCTCATTTTTACTGATCAAACAAATTTCTTTGGCTTTACACATTTCATACTTATAGTTTCAGTTGCATAAATGAACAGTGAATGAAAATGACAATTTAGACTAGTAAACCAGTCCATAATTAGTCATTGTAATTAAACAATGTGTGGATATGAAATATGTCCAACGTATTTTTTTAATTTTATTTATTAAATACACAGTACTGTACACTATTGGAAAACAAAACAATCACAAAAACTGGAATGGAAGGTTGAACTCTTACAATGTGGATACATTTAATTTGTTTTAGCATATATTTTTTTCAAAATCTCTATATTTATTCCAGACATGCTCTGCACCTACTGTGAAACCAAAACCATAGGTATGTCAAGAAAACATCCCATGCTGAAATCCACCCAAAAGAGCACAATGGCAGGGCGTTGTATGCACAGTAGGTTGGGAGGAAAAATGTACAGTATGTGTTGAAGTCTCACCAAAAGCAGACAAGCACAGTTTACAAAAGTTAAAAACAAAATTGAAAAGTAAGAAGAAACTCAGATTTGTAAAAGGAAGTTAAAGGAAATTAATTATTACAGACTCAATTATTTCTTTATTTTGTAACAGCAAAAGATTTATTACCAACAGCTCTGTTCTTTTATTGGAATTAAAGCTTGTAATTAGGACATGTCTCCCCCCTGAAATTAAGTATTTTATCTGCACCTCAAGATACAGAGCAATGCATTCAGACCATGGAAGTACATTCAGCCAACACAACTCATATACATCTCCTAAAGCTATCCTGCCATAAAGCAAACTGGTGCTTCTTTTGCCTTATGAGAGGCATATATTGGAAATCAGCAGGCACTCTGCGCAATGAACAGAAGAAGGAAGAGGGTGGATACCAGGGGAGGAAGCAGCAAATTCAAAAGCACAGAGAACACAGATTGGAAAGACAGCTCTCCATACATCCCGTCCTTCACATTCATTGGACATGTGGTCTTTTTAACTAACTCATGCTCAGATTAAGAATGAATGCATTGGAAGAGTGAGAATTAACTAGCTGGTACATGAGTTTCCTGCCTGAAACATTGCTTTGCTTTATTCTTGCCTGAGAGCACAAAGCAACTGAAAAGCTCATTTATCCATCTCCAAAACTAACCTGTCTGCTTCCGTGCCCTCTCGGCTCTTTATGTCTAATGGCCAGGAAGAGCAGTCCCTAAGCTGCAATCAGCAGACTTTACTGTCTCTCAGTCCTCTCTTACCCACGAGGCCACACTGCCTAGTCCCAAAAATGGGCAAGAGAGAAGAAAAACAATTTCATCTCAGTGCCTCTCATCTTGGTAAAAGAGCTTCAGGGGTGGCAACATGAAAGTGAATGCATCACATATAAGTCATAATACATTTCAGAAACTGAGAT